GTCTACAACTTAATGAGTAACCAATCTTATAACATAGACTATCATATCCGTTGGAAAAGTCATTAAACACGTATCTAAGGGCCCTCTCATGTAATCTCTCTAATCGGTCACTATCTTCTTTGAGACATCATGTTAAGGAAAGAAATCACTTTACACAAATCAAACAATGTAGCTCCCAAGTCACTTTTAAAACTTATCATGCACTGGTGGTGAAAGACTCCATAATGTTTTGGCCATACAGCCCTTGTCATGTACTGTTGACTTGAAGTGGTCAAAGGTAAATTAAAGTGTAGGTCAAGGAATTAGAACAATCTTTAAATAACATTAGCTATCAACTAATGTTAACTCTGACTTTCACATCAGAACAATATTTTTCCTGTACTTCTATGGCATGCATTTATTCTCTTTGTTCATTTAATTTAAGTAAAACACCCATAGCAGTTATTTATTTGAGCAAACCTGATGTACTCATAACTTTGTTTTTCCATGTCTGATTTGTCTCCATCAGTTACTCTAGCAAGAATACCTAAGACAAAACAAATCATTCAAGGTACCTTGCAGGTTTTTGCATGTGTAATTTGAGGTCAGCAAGTAACTTTTTTTTTTTTTGTATTGTTACCTGAGTTCTGTACATAATTTGAAGTCAGTGAGTAACCCCGTTTTTTGTATTGTCACTCAAGTTCTGTATATAATTTGAAGTCAGCCAGTAACCCTGTTTTTTTTGTTGTTATCCAAGTTCTGCCTTCAAATTAGAATTCAGATCTTTTGTTATGATATCAAAGGTGGCAAGCCTGCCGGGAGTTTTTAAAGTAAGGCAGAGCAGCACTGTGACAAGTTTATTCTCCAAAAAAAAATCTAAAAAACATGTTACATAAAAACCTATACATAACCCTTCATCCACAAATGATAGGCTCGACTATGGATAAAAACAATGACACATCCTTTTAACTATGTTTCCATGAAGATTTATTAAAAATGAAATAACAATAGTTCTGTTTTAAAGCAAAAAAAAAAAAAAAACTGCACACTTTTGTTCCATATTATAACACATAAAAAGAGAATTGCTTTGTGATATTAATAGAACTTCAGGCTGAGATCGTATCTTGAAATGGCATTAAAAACCTTCCAGAAATTGACAGGATCATGTTGAGAATTCAATACCAGCAGATAACTTACAAAATAAAAAACCTTGAGGCTCATTTCAGGCACAGGGATACAGGAAGATGTTGACTGGGTAACCAAAAACCAAGAATTACTTCAAACCAAGAATGCCCAGACTGTCAAGAATGACAAGGTAACAAACATTTCTGTCACTTGTATGGTAGAGCTCCCTTGATAGACTCATCTTAATAAATACTTTCATACTGATGGTGCTTGGCTGAGTTGGGGCAAATCCTTACTGCCTTACATTTTTTACTCAGAATTTAAAAAAAGAGTAGCCAATACAGTGCGCACAAATCTTCTCTGGTTTCAAGTATTTTTCTTCAGCGAATACTCATGGTAATCTTTGAATTATAAATTAAAGTAAATGAAAACTTTATAGTTCAGACTGATGCAGTAAGATCATTTCAAAAAGCAGCAATGTTATAGCACCCAATGTAAGGTACTATTAAACTGTGTGTAATTAGTGTAGAGAACATTATGTGTATTAATTGGCACAATGAAACGAACAAATAGCCTTTGGTTGCCAAATATTTTGAAGCAGTCAGTAAGCAATCACCTTTGGAAAATGTTCAGTAATAACATACCTCCATGTATAGCAGGATGGAGGGTTTTTACCCTCCCCCCTAACATCTCAGGAGCACCTGTTACATCTGCAACATCCCTGTCAGAGATAAAGTTATATGGATGGGACCAACTAGCCCAAATGGTCTTTAATGCTCAATTCTTCCTCTTCACAAATAGCTTTTTAGCTTGTGGATCTTGGAAAATTTCTACAAAGAGTCTTTTTTGCCTTATTAGAGGCAGACAAGACTTTTCACAGGAATACACATTATGAGATCTTTACTCCAAACTGGAATTTGGACTAGATTTTGGAGTCAAGATGACCCAGTCTCCTAATGAGGCCAAAAAGATATTTGGCAAGAATTTTACAAGATGCACAAATAGAACATCTATTGGTCAGGACCACAAATCAGCCATGAATATAGGAACGAGGCAGCAAAACAGTGATCTTTTATAACCAGCCAAGTGATTCCCACAGAGTAGTTTTGGTTTTGTCAACTGAATTGATAATGTTAATTTGCCACCCCTAAGTGTTCAAGATTTTGCGATTCTCACCTAAGGTTGCAGCCAAAAACTGGCCTGTGGTGTGACAAAGAAAGTAACCCCACTAGCTTGGTTGTGCCCTCCCCTTCTTAAGCTTAGGCAATAATTACATCCAGGATATGCTTCGCTACTGACACCTTAACTTACGTCTGGTAGTCAAGCCGAGAATATGATCTTGGGAGGATAAAATATTAATTTTTTTTCTTGTGATGTTTTAGCTTACCTTTGGGTTGAAGAGGTTTCTCAGTTCAGGAGAAAGTGTCTGCTGTGGGCCTACCTAGCTATGGTTGTGGTTACTCAATAAATTTATAGACTGGAGTAGCAAAATGAGAGAGTAGCCAAAGGCCACAATCTTTTCCCATAACATATCCGTAGAAATTTTGTGTTGGTTTATCGCTGTCCGTTATTGCATAATAGTCAGTCACCAATGCATCATCCAAACAAATTAAATAAAGTGTTGCTGGAAAATGGATATATACTGTACCTGACAGGAATTCCAGCAGTACGGATTTTATTTGCTGTTCCTCCGGATGCAATTAACTTAAATCCTAACCCATCAAGCTTTTTCGCAAAATCTACGAGTCCTTGCTTATCAGAAACACTCAGAATTGCTAAAACAAAAAACAAGAAAAACATGATTTAAAATACTGCTTAATGGTTAGCCAAATTACTTAGACACTCATTTTAGTTAGGGAGATTGAAGTTCAGAAACAAGGTTTGGTCCAAAAATATTATGGAGTCACAATCAGCTGTCCTCTTTTTCAATAAAAATAAGAAATAATAATAATAAGAAAACAAATACCAAGATCTGTGAATTTCCAGGCATTAATCATAAAAGCTACTCATTTTAAGTCAAGATCGAGAGGTCAGATATACACTTCAATTTTTTTTCACACCTGTTTGAAAATAAAATCATCAGAACTGGAAGATATTACTGGCAGACAGACACACCTCTTAGATGCATATCATTTCACTAGCTACAATGGGTGTGCTCAACATAACCAAAAACACCCACCAAATTGATGATGCTAATTATATTCTTTTTTCTTATAGAGCAGGAAAAACAAACATTTCTTAATTAAGTCAATTTTAAAAACCTTATGTTTTCCACTGCTGTTTACAATCTGTGTAGTTTGTATGTTTGAAAGGGATGGTTGCCTGTTTGAATTTACACTAAATAGATATAATTTCACTTTGGTAGTGATTCAGCTTGCATCCAACAGTGATTATCAGCCATACGCTCTTAGACATATTTTCTCAGCCAGAAGTTGCAAATGCGAATTACATGTATGATTGTAAACAATTACTGGATGAGGTTTTTGTGATATCTGGAAAAATCAAGGTTGAGGTAAGTGTTATCAGCCGAAGCCAAAGGCTGAGGCTGATAACACTAACCGAGACCTTGATTATTCCAGATATCACAAAAACCTCATCCAATAATTGTTTTATTATACATTGTTTTAAAGAAAATAATGCCAAACACATTATCACAGCGAACACAGTTTATTTTAGAACACTTAAAAATGTACAACTGTGTGGCAAACAAATGTTCACTTGGGCTAATTCCTTTTTGTCGTGTGGCTCCTGGATATTTTTCTCTTTATGGTATTCGTAGAACAGTTCCTTCACCACTTTTGTCGATCTTTTAGTATTTTCTGAATCTTTATCTTCAAGTAATTTCTCAATTTCTCGCTGGGTCAATGAAGCGAATCAAGAAGCCATTCTTACTTCACTGTCCGTGACCTTGACATTACTCCACCGGAAATCATGCATTGCATGTGCAACCTACAGATTATTCACTAATCTGTAGGTACAGATTAGTGAACAATCTGTAGGTTGCACTGTTTCCCAGGATTAACTGTGGGCGTTTAGCCAATGAGAAGACATGATGACTACAATGTATAATAAAAAGAAATTATTCAGCAAGTAATCTGCGTAGGAATGATGGCTTAAGTCCATGGCTCCTTGTGGTATCACCAACCAGAGAAATTAAAGGAACATAAAACCCGAGTGGATCTCGCATCCAGAGACAACTTTCTTCCCTCTGAAACTTCAGCATTTGAAACCATGGTTACATATCATTGAGGATCTGAGAGCAGTAACCTGAAATTTGTGTTCCACCATCAACACAAGGTCAACTGAGTTATAGTTTCAATCTAAGATCTTCTTTTTCGCAGTAGTGTGTTGAAAGTAGAAGTTAGTTGGAGCGTTTTTTTCACTTACATGGTTTATATGGCATCTTCTCCATTTTCTATAATACCAATTTCTCCTAGAATAATGAAGAATCCCTCCGAATTTTTCCCGATCTTGGAGGCCTAACTGATTTTTTTCCTGGCCTGTTCATGACGAGATAAAATGCAAAGCGCAGCGGAAGAGACATTTTGGTTTCAGTTCAGGTTTCAACTGGTTAATTTGTTGAAAAGCAGAAATAAGTCGGACACACACGAGAAAGACGTTTTATAATGACCTTGCCGTGTACTCAAGCTTGCTTACCTAACTCTCCACTTTCACATGCCGCCATCTTGATTACACCATGTGGACAAATAGACCATCTTTGTCCCCAGGAGCTCGTGGCTTTCTCCTCGGCTTCCGGTTTTCAAAAGACCGCCAGTTTCGAAAGCCGACCGAGAAAGCCCTGGGGATGACGTCGTAAACAAACTTAGCGTCCTTATTTGGTTCATACAATCGTTGCTGTTCATGAAGTTTTACTGGCCATACTGGGTTTTCATGAATCAAAAGTCACTCATTTTGTATTCACGGGATTAAACGCTTCTGCCAAATGATGAATACGGTATGAAATAATTTCTCAAAGGTAGTAATTAGTTCCGTCTAGCGTTTGTTAATCCATGTTCTGGGTTCGTACAACTTTAGTCTTTACTTTAATTTGGTACTGTGGCAGTGATTGAAAAAGTAGTGTCCCTGTAGCTTTCCCTGAAGATTCTGCGTTGCCGTGGATCTGTACAGTATAGATCGCATAAGACGTCAAAATGTGGAAGGAACATCAGTGACACACTGAGCGAATTTTTTGTTCCTACCATATTTTCACTTTCAGCTATTACTGAACGGACGCACTGCGAAATGTTAAGTTTAGAATGAATTGGAGGTAAAAAATTCCTTTGTTCCAGGTATAGTTAGCTCAAAATACAGACTGTAGACTGCAGATTGCAAACTAAATGAGGTATTAAATGCAGATTGCAGACTGGGTACAAAATACAGACTACATTGCAGACTGGGTACACAATACAGACTATATTGCAGACTGGGTACAAAGTGCAGAGTTCACATTGCAGACTGGGTACTAAGGATGGGCCAATACCACTACCAAATATTCGATACCAGTAATACTGAGGTTGGACTGAAAAATATTGATACTAGTGATGAGTATCGATTCTTTTGATAGTGTACGTGACCTACTAACCGCTTACAAGTAGCTGAGTAGACTCCAGGCTTGAGGTTGTGCATGTGCACCTTTGTGTGCAATGTAGGATTGCTGTATCTGTCCTTAGAATAGTTTGTGTAATTAGTAGGTACGAGTTGGTCTGTTGTGGAGTGGTCATTGTGTATTTCAGTGTACTTTATAATTATTTACAACAAAAACTGGTATTTAAGGTAACCCAATGTCATATGATTGTTTTATGTTTATTACAGCTGTGTTTGTTTGTTTACTACTGTGGTATGTTAATTAACTTTACACAGTTCATACATGTCCACACATTTTCATCAATGTTCACTTGTCAAGAAATGGGTGCATCATACTTAAAATGAAGAAGAATGTGCCCAACAAGACCCAGGATATAATTTTTAAAGTGTTTGCTATGATGCTACATTTAAACTCATTTCAGCATGGCTTCTTGCCGGCACTAGATGCTAAAATTAAAAAATACCCAAAACAAAATCATATGAAACTTTTCCCTGTATTATCAGGACTTGTTTTTTTTTTGGGGGGGGGGGGGAGACGGGGAAATTAAAAAACCTGCCTGTGAGAACTATGCAAAAACTAATCCAATAATTGGTTGTAGTAATGCTCCAATTAAGTTTTGATACTCATTAAGCCACTGTCTTGAATCCTGTAAACAAAGGTATGTTTGCAATATGGCTGATTTGTTGCAATATCCCCCCTTTATATTTATACTTGTGTGGCTTGTACTGAATCATCTGTTTCAAAAGTTAAATCATGTTTTTCTTGTTACATTTTTTTATCAAAAGTTGTCCTGACATTCTTTTATCTACATATGTAGTGTCCTTCAAGATTTTTAATTTTTCTTTTTTTGCATTATTAGAGAGTAGGGAGTGATCTCTTGAGTCTCAGTGGATCTTACATGAATCATTATGGTGAGTAACATGACAGAACCTATGTAACAATACATGTCCAGGTTGAAAAGTTATTCTGCTGATTCATTTCTCTGTAGTTCTATTTTTCTCTCTAGTTTAATCTCGTTTAAACCGCTTCCCAGGTAGCTTAATGGGTAGAGTGCTGGACTGTTGTGCGGGAGGTCGAGGGTTTAAGCCCCAGCCGGACCAACATTCGAGGTCTTAAAATAATTGAGAAGAATATGCTTCCTTTCTATAACATCAAGAAATGGTTAGATATTCTAGTTTTCTCAGATAGGGACGAATAAATGGAGGTCCCGTCTCCTGCAGGAGGGGTAGGAGACGTTAATTTCCCAGGCACAAGATTACTGTGTGATGGATGTCCTTCCCCGGGGTGGGATGGGTAGGTTGGGTTTAGGTGGCTGAACCTTGTAGGGGACTATGTGTCGCATCGTTCTTCCACCTGTACAACGTACAAATCTTTAGAAACAAAGAAACAAGTAATCTGATTAAGATATCCCTATCTCTGTCCATGGTCACAGAAGGCCTTCCCTAAGTCTGTGACAAACAGTTATTTTGACACACATCTAAGGGTGAAGGATGAAGGCTTGCTACTTCATGGAGTCATGGATCTGAACGGCATCTTTTGAAGATTCTTTTCATTACTGGTTATTGCATTCAGCCAGAGTGTATGTGTAAAAAGTCAACAATTTTAAGTATAAGGAATTTGAGAGAGAGGAAAAATATTTGAAGTTGTTTGTTGGCTTAGGATCATTTAATTTTGTGTAAAAATGGGATGAACATCTTGAAAATGCTACCTGAGGCAGATCTTCCAGCTGGCAAGCATCCTTACATATACCTAATTTATTGTCTCTGTGGAAAAATAAAAGTTTTCTTTTCAGTAATTTCAGTTAACTTTTCTCGTCTTTCATCTAATATAATCACTGTGACATTAACTGTGTTATTTTGGAGAACATGGTCAAGAAATGAGATGCAATTTTTTCCCTATTGAATGGGTTGTCAGTGTGCTGTAAACTATTCTGTTTGTCTCCTTTTTAGTCACGATAGCCAGGACTCGACACTAACAGTAGCCCACTAGCCACAGACTAGTAGAAATTCAGCTTTGGTTAGTGGTTTTCGATTTCCACCAGGCACTTTGACTAGTAAACAAACTGACATTGTCATAACATCTAAGATGTCACTAGTCACTTGGCTAGTAAGTTGAAAAGATAGTGTCAAGCCCTGATAGCCATGGCTTTTATGTGAACTGGTTTAACTCTGTAACAGAAAAAAAATGTTACAGTACCAAGCAGTTTGAAGAAAGGGAGCTATTTATGTGCATTGGACTTTCTATACCTAAAAGTTCTTTAAGAAATTATAACACTGTTGTACTCTACTTGAGTCTTACATTTGAGGCCATCACTTTATGGTTTGACTCGCAGAAAAATTACTGAAAATAATTAAGATTTCCACTCCTTTTGTGGAATCAATCAGTTACTGTGACTAACCTCATTCCTTTTCAGAAGCACTTTTCCCTGCACAATTAAGCATTTTACATGGTCATTGTCAATTGATTATTAGTCTTGGTTACAGCCTGTTACTGAACAGTATTATAATTAAAACAAAGAATATCATGTTAGGGGCTTTGGTGCCATTGCAATGCAGTATCTTCGGATTGTAGGTGCTTCACACATTTTTGTGTCTCATACCTTTTTAAATTTACACTGTCCATCCTATGTAGATCATGAAGAGAGTGAAGATGAGAGTCCAAAGACAGTAAGTTACCATGTGAATACCAATTTTTTTCACTGATTGGAAGGTTGTTCTTAAAATCAGTAGTTAAAAGGTTTTTTTGAAATGCAAGTAAAGACTAACAACATGTAGAAGAACCAATTGTCCCAGTGTAACAACAACAACAATAACTTTTATTTGCACCCTGAATTAAATTAAATTTACTGTACAAAAAAGTAATAAAACAAATAAAATAATGATAATAATAATAATAATTTAATATTTATATTGTGTAAATTAACATGTGGATATGATCAAATGCGCATCACAACACTTTTTGGGGGACTTTGGCCGGACTGCATCAGCAGTTTACAAACAATCGAAGGGAACTTATTTGAAGATGCCGCCTCTCCCCAATTCCCAGTAAACAGGCCAGACCACATCACAGTAATCTCGTGAGTGGGTTCTTTAATGTCCCCTGCCTAACCAAATTAACTAATTACTAGATGCAGGAGACGGGAGCTGCGGTTTATTCGTCCCTATCCGAGAAGACTAGAATGTCTATCCATTTCTTGATGTTATAGAAAGGTAGCGCATTCTCCTCAGTTATTTTTATTAAGACCATGAGTGTTAGTCCGGCCAGGGCTCGAACCATCGACTTTGACCTCCCACACAACAGTCCAGCACTCTAACCAATTGAGCTAATAACCAATAAAGTGCATGGCTGCCCAAAATGACCACCAGGCTAGAACTGAGCAGCCACTAATAGAATCAAGCAGCCAGTGTTGTCATGACTCGATCCATTGTCAAGCTTGGGTGGTTTTTTGACCTTTCAGTCTTGGAATTTTGAGATGGTTTTTGACTACATGTCTAGTTTGTTTGCAACCATCCAAGGATCTTAATCTGAAAGCTGAGAAAACCATCCCCATATAACTGTGACTAAAAGGCCAGTTTTGCTCATATTGAGTGGCATTAGACCTTCATAACTATAACCATTTACACCCAAAATATACTACTATCTAGTTGTCTTGGACACAGATTTCAGACAAGCAACTTTGTCTGCCCACTTGCTTACCATGCAAACAACTCAGGAAATCTACCATTTGATTGAGTAACAACACAAGTGCCAAAATTTTAAATCAAAGTCACCAAGAAAGTAAGCTAATGGGGAGAAATTTGAAAGAGATTCTTATCTTTGAATTTCATCAGGTAAAAAACAAATCTATTTTCCCTTGATAAAACAAAATCTTCCTCTTCTCAAGAAAATGACTCTGGCTGTTTTGTGTTCCCATGGTTGGAAATACTGAAAATGGTTTACCAGCATGTGGCCAATATCTTCTGGGAGCTAAATTTCTCTATGTTTTTATCAAAACAAATTAGTATGGTTTGCAAACAGTGAATTCAAAGTATTCTCATTTTCAATCTTAGTGACTTTATGTGCAGGTATATCATTTTGTTGAAACAACAGGAATAAAAGCAAATTTCCAAGAGTCCACTTGTGATATATCTTTGATTTCTTTGCAGCAACTTTTTTTTCCAATATTTTAGTTGCCATACTTGGGGTGCAGCTTAACTGATAAAGTGGGCTTTGAGGTTGTGGTGATGATATCTTTTTTTCTGGAAGGCAGGTGTGATAGCTGATTGGGGAGTGATCAACCGTCGGCTGAGACAACACGGTTATCAGCCTGTCATGGTGTTTCCATCTGGTTTAGGGCGACAAAACCATGGAGGTAATGTTATGTTTCCCTTACCATTTTCTGCATTTGGATCAGTGATATACACTAACCATGAAAGCAAACTTCAGTCTCGTACACTAATTTTATTTTTAATTTTCCCTTTGGGCAACCATAGTAAAGTTACTGTATCATTCCCCGATAACTCATTAAAAAATGTACCCCAATGCACCAGCCTCTTTTATGTTTATCTAAAGTAGGGAATCCTAGGCAGCTTTAAATCTTATCTTGTTTACCTCCTAAAATTTTGTGAATAGTAAGGGAAGTGAGAAGCGCTACTGAAATTTGTTGCCATGTTTGTCTGACAAAACCTTTAACCAAATCTAACTTTGTGTTAAAGCTTGCCATTGTTTTAGGAAACAGCAGTTGTAGTATTTCTTAAACATCTGTCTCTGTTAAAGCAGGTGTTGCATTAGAGGAGCTTTCATCCAAGAATTTACAGAACACCTTGGACAAGTTGATGACTGAGAGTGAGCGAAGGCAGTCAATGGTGCAGGAACTAATCAGCTCTTCAACGAGAATTCAGTTAGTATAATAATTTTGGATTCACATTTTTCTCATCACACTTGATGTTAGATTTGGCCAGTTAAGCATAGCCTTTAACTAACAAATAACTGGCTTTTATTATTCCAGTTCATGAGAAATAGATTGGATAAATTGAATTATGATTCTTTGCCCAAATTCATGAAATGTGAATGTTCAGTTGTCAAGTTCTGTAACCCTTTACACACTAACATTGACATGCATATTTTCCTTACCATACACTTCTTAATTTTTATGTTACTGACAAAGAAACAACAATCAAGAGCTGCTTAGGCTTGTGATAATTTTTTTTATTCTCTTGACCTTTGATGTATAGGAAAACTTACAGGAAAAGCAGTTAAGAATGTTTGCAAGCTTATCTTTCCAAAATTTAAATTGATTTAAGGAGAGATGCTGTTGAAGAAAGGGAAAGGGTTTACCGTCATGTAATGGAGGTGTGTATAGAATTATGTTACCTGCGTCCACACAACTCAAACTTGGAAATTAATGATGTTCAACGGCTGCAATTGGGACATTTCAAAGATACATTTCCTTAACAACTCGCAACACAAAGCTTTCTGGTTGTTGTATTTTTTGATTATCAGTATTCAGTTGTGATTCCTTCCAATCAGCTTACACTGATGTACATGTAGATCTTCTCCTTTGTTGTTAAAAAGCCCTGATTGCGGATACAATTACCTGATAATCTCCTCTTCAAGGTGACTTTTACTATAATTATCTAAATTATTGTTATAGTAAGAAATTGACAACTTTTTTGAGAGACATGTTTTGGCATGCTTATGCCATCTTCAATCAATGAGTAACAGAACGTGAGTAATTATATAACAGACAGGTAGATGAATAAAATATTTACAGTATGAAATACAAAAGCGGGTACTAATTACAACGTGACACCAAACATCAAAGGTGTAAACTAAAACCCTAGAAAAGTGTTATTAATAATGCTGTAATTTATGTATATGTGCACGATCCTTGGCAGTAAAGCACTATTTGAGCAATAGTGAAAATCAGACGTGAAAAAAATTTCAGGCCTGTACGGGATTCAAACCGCTGACCTCTGCAATACTAGTGCAGCGCTCTACCAATTGAGCTAACAAGCCAACTGGGAGCAGGCCATCAAATTAATTCCACTATTGATTTCCACTATTGCTCAAATTGATTTCCACTATTGCTCAAATAGTGCTTTACTGCGAAGGATCGTTCTTATATACGTCTCATAACCGCAGTTCACTCATATGTTTCATATGTTTGTTGTTGTTCGATTTATCATCTACGGGTTTATATCGAATTAATTTGATGGCCTGCTCCCAGTTGGCTTGTTAGCTCAATTGGTAGAGCGCTGCACTAGTATCGCAGAGGTCAGTGGTTCGAATCCCGTACAGGCCTGAAATTTTTTTCAGGTCTGATTTCCACTATTGCTCAAATAGTGCTTTACTGCGAAGGATCGTTCTTATATACGTCTCATAACCGCAGTTCACTCATATGTTTCATATGTTTGTTGTTGTTCGATTTATCATCTACGGGTTTATATCGAATTAATTTGATGGCCTGCTCCCAGTTGGCTTGTTAGCTCAATTGGTAGAGCGCTGCACTAGTATCGCAGAGGTCAGTGGTTCGAATCCCGTACAGGCCTGAAATTTTTTTCAGGTCTGATTTTCACTATTGCTCAAATAGTGCTTTACTGCGAAGGATCGTGCACATATACGTTTCATAACCGCAGTTCATACATATGTTTCATATGTTTGTTGTTGAATGCTGTAATTGTTTGTTAAGGTCAGGTTTGATCTTATTTAATATAAAAAGCTTCTTTGAGTTTTAAATCAATTGAGTTTTTAGCAGAATCCAGAATACTAAAGCAAGAAATCCATGGTAGTTTATCAATTTTAGTTTATCATGGTGGTAGTTTATCAATTTTTTAAAATCCATTGTAGTTTATCAATTTTCTTGTGTGGGATGTAATTCCCGTTATATTGGCGAAACTGGTCGCCATTTCTCTACTAGGATAAAGGAGCACATGGAAAGCAATAAAAACTCGCCTATTTTTAAGCATTTCAACACATCTCCTTCTTCTAAGAACAAAATACTCCCTTTCTTGCTTTAGTATTCTGGATTCTGCTAACAACTCAATTGGTTTAAAATTCAAAGAAGCTTTTTATATAAATAAGATCAAACCTGAACTTAACAAACAATTACAGCATTATAACACTTTTCTAGGGTTTTAGTTCACACCTTTGATGTTTGGTGTCACGTTGTAATTAGAACCCACTTTTGTATTACATCACACTGTAAAATTTTATTCATCTACTTGTCTGTTATATAATTACTCACGTTCTGTTACTCATTGATTGAAGATGGCATAAGCATGCCGAAACATGTCTCTCAAAAAAGTTGTCTATTTCTTACGATATTTATCATGCTTGCTACTACTACGAAATTATCTAAATTATTAATGAACAATAACTGTGTGTATAAAATGAGAGTTCCATGGACTTGGACTTATATCAGTGTCACTACAGAAACAGTTTACATTTAATTCTCTTGCTGGAAGTCACATGTGGTTTGGTGATGAGTGCCATTTCCTGAAATGACTGTCCTAACATAGGAAAAAAACCTTGTTACCTCACTAGTTTATGATTTCCAGAACAATTTTTTATTATTTTTTTTTTATTATTTCTGTATGTTTTTATTTTAGACCAAACCAGGATTAGAATTTATTTGGTTTTTTATGTATTCCTCATAGATCAGGAATCTAAAACGAGAACTGGAAGAAGAAAAGCTTAAAGTTCAGGCAAGGCATAACGATATGATTATTTCAAATGTAAATTCTAAACAATGCAAGTGTAGAATAATTTTTGATGCTACAGACCAGAGATGAGGATTAGCAAAAAAAGAAGGTTGCAATTCTTATTTAACAAACATTACATGTAGTTTGTTATCATGGCAGTGAAATATCATACTTAAAGGATCTTAGTCAACCACAAGACATTGCACACTTACATGTGGTCTGCCATTTTTGTGCCATCTAAATTCATGACATTTTGATTGTGGTCTATCATCCAAATGCATCCAAGCCATTTAAATATATTAAGGTCTTAATTTGTCATGCCAGTCTTCTGAAATATTATCTGTGATGTATTGGGAGAGTTATTTTTAATTAGTGGTTTCTCACAAGTTTCTTATTATTAATAAGAAGTTTTGGGTTGAAACTGGGTTTGTTGGTGGTTTCTCATGTTCCTTCACATGAAACACCTTAAAGCCACAGAGTAGACAATATTTATTAAGTTTCAACCCGCAGAATGACAGGAAGGATAATCCTAGCATCAAAAGTCTATTAACCAGGATGTATTTTGATGACTTTCCTTTGCAATGTTTGTATGGTAAAGCCAGATGATATTGTGTTACAAAAGACAGTAATAATTTCTTTCTGTGAGCTATTTTCTTTGTTTTTAAGTGACCCTTCTCTACCAGGGCAGATGCCCTAAACAAACTTTTCTCCAGAACTTTGTCGAGTATCCTCTATTCCCTTCTTTAAGTGTATTTTGAACTCATTACATTTATATTAGATGTGGAGTGCATGGGATTTGTTCTTAGGATGCCTAAAGCTTCTCTGTTTACACACATCACACTTTAATTTTTTTTATTTTCCTAATATATTTACAAGATGTTCTTTTGACCTTCATCTAGCAAATACTAATTGAAGCCGATCAATTTTCCCTTCTCTTTTTACAAATCCTTGCTTTACTCCTGGTAAAAAGCATTGATGGGCTAACACCACTGCTACTAAGCATTGAGTGCAATATAATAAATTATTTTCTCTACAGTTGCCTGTAGGTAAACAAAAACAGAGGTATGGTTGACCAAGATCCTTTAAAATGTTTGTTTAAAACATGAATTAAATTCTGTAACAGTGTAACCCTTTTTGCGTAGAGACCCATATGATGATTTTAGTCCAATTGGGACGCAATTGCACCCTTTTTAGGACCAAGACTTACGTTATGATTACACTAACATATATTTTGAACCAAATTCCCCTGGATTTCCATTATGAATGTACAGCAATTTTACCCTCATTTTACCCTTTACCTTGAACATTAGATAACTGATCAACCCTACTGCTAACCCAGAACAATTTTTCATTTCCCTTCACGTCACTCTTTGTATATATTTACCCTTACCCAAAGAACTCAAACAGTACTACATTGAACCGTGTCTGTCAATATGCGACAAATCAAAGTGAACAGTGTACTGTTGTTCAAATGTTCAAAACATTTTATTTATTTCAAAGCAGCAAAACGTGTAAGTCCAGTTCACTTTTCAACAGAATACAACAGTTTTTCCAATTCTCCTTAGTTTATTTCCGTTTCGTGATAAACGAAACCTTTTTCATTGTGCCACTGTAGTATTTGAAACTCACTTATTTGAAATTTTATAAAAACCAATTTAAACTTACTGTTAAAACTTCTTTGACCTCAAGGAAATGGAGGGAGTGCGATTGATAGAACTTCAACGTCATGGACAAGAAGTACAAGAACTAAAAAGAACCAAAACTGAACTTGTGGCTTTGCAGATGCAGTTACAACAGAAAGTGTCTCAAAGGGAAGAGGAAATCAAAAGACTACAGCAGAAATGTCAACGTCTCAATAGTGTGGTATGTTAATTAGTTGATCTCTTAATAAAAGCACTTTCATTCCATCGTGTCCCTTTAAACAAGATGTTTCCCTTTTTATTAACATTCTAGCAGTGAAGAGTGAGCTTTTCCCCTTTCTCACTCTGTTTAGATATTAAGAGAAGGTTGCCAAGGCTTTAATGTTGGGATTTAATTTAAAGAATTTTTAATATTTTCTCTTTTTGAAGTGCATAGTGTTATTGCTTTTTAGGACATTGAAAGACTTGACAAAGAAAGTGATATTTGGAAACACTCATGGAAACAATCAGCTTACAATAGAAGTGTACCAGATCAAAAGTAAGGAAGTTGCCAGGAAGTTCTTCAGGAAGTAACCTCCTGTTATTGTACTTTTATCTCTTTTGTCCTTTTCTCTATAATTATTTTCCTCATGCAGGCAGGTAAGTATTTTTAACACTTACCTGTGACAGACCTTTAGTTAAATTTAGCTGGCCAGCAATTTCACTTTCAACTCTTTTGGTGGCTTAAACACACTGCTATAAAAAATTGGACCCAGTCAGACCATTTCTACGACTGGTAGTCGGACCATTTTATCTAGTTATGCCATTTTCACCAGTTGGATCATTTTTACCAGTTGGATCTTTTAACTGGTTGGACCAGTCAGATTATTTTGTTAAACCTAGTTAGACCATTCTATCTTGTTAGACCATTTCAAACTATCAACTATTTTAAGTGATGGATCATTTTAACCAGTTGGACTATATTTATTTGGACCAGTTGGACCTAGTAAAACCGTTTCTACCCATTGGACCATTTTATCTAGAAGATCATTTTAACCAATTGGACTGTTTTAACCCACTGGACCTCCTATCTACAATCGAAAACAAAATTATTATCACATTGATCTTTTCAACCTCCTGTTATTGTACTTTTATCTCTTTTGTCCTTATTAAGTGAACCATTTCACCCATTCCCCTCCCCAAAACAATGTACATGTATCATGATTCCATGAACTTTTAGCCAACATTGAATGGAGGAGGGGGGGTCTTTTGATGATTTAGAGTGTGGTAGAAACAGGACTGGCTTTGACTAATTTTGATGCTGATTGTAGTTTGACCATTTCAAGTGGTTGGACCATTTTAATCAGTTGGATTATTTTATCAAGTTTGACGATTTAAACAACAAGTGGATCATATTAACCAATTTAACCCCTCTCTAGTTATACCTTTTTGTAACTGTTGGACCATTATAACCCATTGAATCATTTAGCTAGGTGGACTATTGTATCTAGTAAAGTCATTTTTGACAATAAAAACTTGCGACAAAACGTTGCTTGATAACATTGTAAAATTTAAAAACGATAAAAAGCTATAGAAAGCTAAAATTCATGACGTTTTGACGTTAACATAACGTCATTATCAAATCCAGAATGTATAAAAATAAGTTCTATAAATACTAAAAATGAACAATAAGAGAAAATAATTTGGGGGTTAAAGAAAAAGTTTAGCACGTATGGAGTCCGTTTGCATGTTCAGATTAGGTTTGAATTTCTTAATATAAAGCATTTCAAAGACTAAACAATCAAATTTGCTTTGACACTTTCTCAGAATCTTAAAATTACTATCATTCAAACCATCCCTCCTACCATGCGCTTCATGAAAATGCTTGCCACTTGCCGAATTTTTGTCTTCAATGACACGTTGAAAAAGGTGTCGGGCCGTATAGCCGACATAATCTGCATTGCACAGGTCACATAAAAAATGATAAACAACGCATCGCTGGTTAACAATTGACGGCTTGGGTTCTTTAGGTTTTAGGTCTTGTTCTAATGTCGGCTTTAGGTTTTAGGTCTTGTTCTATGTCGGCTATGCGGCCCAACACCTTTTTCAACGTGTCACTGAACACAAAAATTCGGCAATTGGCAACCATATTCATGAAGCGCATGGTAGGAGGGATCATTTGAATGACAGTCATTTTAAGATTCTGAGAGAGTCAAAGCAAAATTAATTTGATTGTTTAGTGTTTGAACTGCATTATATTAAGAAATTCAAACCTAATCTGAATGTGCAAACAGACTCCATAGTGCTAAACTTTTTGTTTAACCCATGTTGTTGCAAGTTTTTATCGTCAAATGTTATTCCAAGTCACTTCATCAAAGTCATTTTTAATTAGCCAATTGGACCATTTTAACTTGTTGAACCTTTTTCTCTAGTTAGATCATTTCTTCTTGTTGGACCATTTTAAGTAGTGAGACCAATTTGAGTAGTTTGACCATTTGAACTGGTTGGACCCTTTTAATTGGTTTGAGCATTCTAAATGATTGGATCATTTTTGCCACTTAAAGTCACTGAAGTTGCAACTTTAATGGTTGCCTCTGTCTGCTAGCAGTAATAACTGAAAAGTGTAATCAGTTATGTGCATGAACACTCACTACAACAGCTTAAAGTAGAGCAACCAGACAATTCAACCAACATTCCAAATTCCAATTCGACCTGGAAACAGTGGACAAGAAGAGCCACCCAGTGGAATGTCCATCACTAAGTTATTGATTATTATTGATTATTATTATTATTTATTTGATTAATAATATTAATTTAGTAAAAGGAAAAGAAGGGAAACCTTTGAAAATACTGTCTTCCAGGTTTTTGGATATGATTGACAGCTACGAATCAAAGATCTTTGAAATGCAACAGGAACTTAAAAAGTTGAAAAAAGAAATAGATAGTAAGACTCTGTCTCATGTTGGAGGTCAAAGCCCTACTGAAAGTGAGTTGACTGCAAGCAGTGAAGTAACTCCATAATATGCAGACATCAGTGCTTCAACCAGTAAAGATAGAGAGGTTGAAAGTAAAGTGAGGAAAGGAGAAAAGGTACAGGTGAATCAACTTGCAAGTGAATGATCCTCTCCTTCTTTCTCACCCAGGTCATACACATTGATTATCAACCTTTCTGTTGTTACCTTCCCAACTTCAATATTGTGCAATAAATTTCTAATGCTTCCAAGAAACAAGGAATGATGAAAGGGAAAGCTTACACAATGTTTTTTCAGTTATATATTTAGAAACCAAGCTAGGGGTTGCACTGGGATCTTAAAAAAGCTAGGTTACAAATTCTTTCCAAGAAAATGAAGTGCAGACCAAGGGACAAATATTCACCCAGTAAAATCCTTAGAATTATCTCAGTAACCCATTTGTGGTTTACATAGTTTCTGAAGTTGTTTGTTTTTGCAATTAAATAGACCTCTTTTAGGAGTTTTTTGGTAAAACAATAGCAAGTTGGCTGGATTTTCCCTTGCAAGGCCCTTTCTTAGATCTTTCACATAACGTTAGGATAAATATGCACTTTAATGGCCAATAAAAAGCTTATAACCCTGAAGTGAATATGTTTGTCCTACAGCTAGGGTTTATTAGAGTGCAGCACAAGCCAATCAAAATATACTTCCTAATGTGGATTGGTTTATCCAGGGTTCCCACACTTCTTGAAAGTCCTTGCAAGTCCTTGAATTAAATTTTTTGTTTTCAAGGACTTGATATCCCTTGAATTTAGACTCAGATCCTTGAAAATTTCTGAAAAGTCCTTGAAAATAAGTGCAGACAAAGTCAAAGTTTTCTTTTATTTTCAGTCTTGAAAGTGTAAGTTTCTAGTGCAAATCACGAAAATGAGTTTTCCTTTTAAATCCTGCATCCAATTACATTGGACACATGGTTTTTCTATATTTTGTACCTGATTGGTGCATTGAAAATAACCCTGGTTACGTAGCACATGATCACTCTGATATGCATGCTTGAGGTCAGGCTCATTGAACTTTTTAGCCGCTCTTATTTAATGCAAAAGGTCCTTGAATTTGAGAGCCAGGGTTCTTGAAAATGACCTGAAAAGTCCTTGAAAGTCCTTGATTTGGGTTCCTCAAAAAGTGCAAGAACTCTGATTATCTTTTAGTGATTAGTGAATGCATATTACAGTGGAATCCTGATTTCTCGAACCTCCCAATATCTCGAACCAAACTTTGTTTCCCTTGGATTTGCTTCCCTTGTAATTTCACCCTCGATTTCTCAAACTCCCGATTTCTCGAACCAATAATTTGCGTTTCCCCTGGAGGTTTGAGAAATCGGGATTCCACTGTAAATAAAACTCTTCAGTGGTACCACTGAGGAATACATTATGAAATTGCAGTTTTCAAACCACAAACTTGACCATAGTTTAGAGAACCAACCAAGTTTTATATATTAAAGGATACCAATTGCAAAGTTATTATTTGAAGCCCTTTGTACACTTTGCAAGTTTATTTGAACATCACAGCCAGCTGTTTTTTGTTCACTAAAAATGGTGCAGCAGCTGGTAGGCACCGTTAGGGTCCAAATGACAAAAAAGTAGGAAAGTGGGTAAGTGAGTCAAAATTAAGAAAAAAATTTTTTAACCTCATTTTGCAAATAAGTTTGTTATTGATGATTATTAATAAATTAAGGTAATAAAAAATGTCCAGTGATAAATTAGATGAGGAGATGTCTATAGGTATTCTCAGTCGTTCTCATTCTGACATTTGGCATTGATTTTCTAGATTTATGATGGCGTACTTGATATCACAGAGAACTCACTGTTAACAAATTTTTAGAAACAGATTTCACCATAAAAATTAATGTTAAAAAGCAACAAGGTTTTTTACCGTTTGACTGTCATTTTCAAGGTAAAAACCAAAAACCTTTCAGCAATCAATTGTTTAAAATTAATGCTTATGAGATACTTACTAAAACCATTAATTTTATGCTGAAACAATTTTTCTTGTATTGTTTCTATGTAAATGTTTTTTAGTTTTTAGTTAGTATCTCATTAGCATTTTGACAATCAATTTTTTGACCATTACTTTTTAAGAAAATGACTGTTGAATGGACAAAACATCATTGCTTTTTAATTTTTATAGTGAAACTCACTGTTACTCACTTTGAGGGTGTTTTTCCATCAGTCAACAGAGAAGCAGCTCAAAGAGTGTAAGATGTTGATCAAACTTCTTGAGAGTGAAAACACCCAACTGAAACTTGAGCTGGAATCCAGGTCATTTTCAATTTTTGTAACTTGTACATTTCCCTAACAACTGGAAAAAGTTTTGACAATGTGACACTAACAGGTTTGAAAAGGAAAATGTCCTTGATGCTTGTTTTCCCAGTCATTTTGTCTTCCAGTTCCATGATTCTTATTTTTTGAGATTGTGACATTATATTTGGGGTACTGTGATACCCTTTCCTTAGATCAGCACAGTTATGGTGTTGTTCCAAAGTTTGGGCTTTGTTCCAAAGTTATGGTGTTGTTCCAAAGTCTGGGCTGGAAATGTTAATTGATGTGAGGAAGATTGGTGTACTGGAGATTGTTTGACAGCAATTTTATTGCTAACTTTAAGCTATGTCTTTTTAATTTCTCTAGACCTGAAGTCAACGATTGGAAGAAAGCGCAAAAATACAATAAACAACTGGAAAGACTTCTAGCTCAAAATAACCTCAGGTATCTATCAATTCTAGTTAAATTTTATTTTTCATGTATTCAAATATATTTTGTACCCTGTAATAGCCAATGGATAGGCATTTGCTACAAACTACAATGAAAAGTTCCCTTTCATTATGACCATGATAAGTTTGAATCCCCAGAACATGAAATAAATCAGAGTTAACCTAATTTTCTCTTCATTTTACTGCAATACTGTTGCTTTTTTTCTTTTTCTTTTTTTGAGAAATCGTAACTTGTAGACTAGTAAAGACTAGTCTAAGATTGTACTATACACTAGTACTCTTTCAGATGCAAATTCTAATAATTCACTTTTTAATTACTGGTAGTTTCTATACAATTCGCAGTGTTTATTCTGGATCTAGTTAGGTGTTGCTTAACTATGTTACCTTTTCACTCTAAGAGTAAATTGAAATTATTTGTTATTTTCTGTACCACATTATGCTACTGTAAAGATAAAAATCTAAAACTTCTTTTCCTGTAGTCCACCTCACAGAAAACACAGGGAAGGAAGGACCAAAATGGACAGTGTGGCTGCTCTGAAAAAAAGATACAGCAAACATGTAAGCTTAGTAAGGGTGAAATAATAATTATAATTTGTAATATTATAATAGAAAACCTAGTAGATAATTACTGTGTCTCCAGACCTGTTCTTGAGGTCAGTCCAATTTCCTAAAAACAACAATTACATGGTAAAATAGGTTGCGGTTAGTCATCATGGTAAATAACACTTTTAAAAGAGAAGTGTGATCATTAATTTTTTCTCATGATGTGGTCACTTGGGATGTGGATCGCAGGTAACCAGACTTTTCGCACAAGTCTTTTTGCACAAGTTTTGGACAATTACTTTCAAAATCAAGATAGTGTTCTTAGCGTGGGATGTCGATGTTTGCATGTTTGTAGTGGATGATGTACTGTCAAGGCTAAAAAAGTTTTTCGTTTAGCAAAGGAAAAGTAATAGAAGTAATCATTCGAATAGGGATTTCTCTACATTTTCGTAGAGAGAAAGATTTGTTCCTTTCTTCAAGTAAGAATAGTGATTGTGTTTACGTAAATAAAATGAATATTGATGTTCTCGTCATTGGATCTTATTGAAAGTGACATGGGAAGGTGAAATAATTATCTTTTCAGTATCAATTAGAATACCTTTTATATTGATGTTTCTCACTTACAATTATTGTGTGAAATGACCATTAAGAATTGTGCGAACAGTCCAAAACTTGTGCAAAAAGACTTGTGTGAAAAGTCTTTTCTGCGAAATGTCGGCCTGTATTCAGATCGCAACGTTTGGAGTGCGTACTGCCAGTCTTCTTCAGGCAGTGAGGTCAACTGAGTGTACTCCATCTATATGCTGTTGTGCTCAGTTGTGATTGTATCGAATTCCACAGCTGTGATTGGTGCATCTTTCAGAACAGGTTACCTCTGTGGTCCACTGCTACACTTGTTCTGACCAGAATGCCATAAGACTCCAGTGCTTGCATTTAGAGCGGAAATGATACCGTCCTTACTGCGATAGCTAATCTTATACTTTATTCTTTAAGGTAGAAGATCTTGATTTTATGCCCATTGATGCTTGCCGAAAACATTTGAAGGTGAGACCCCTCAAAAGGTACTATAATAGAGAATGTTCCTTTCATCAGCTGCTTAGCTTTGTTGTTTGATTATGTGGCTGTTTTTCTCATTTATTAGGAAGTGTGTTCTGAGCTAAGAGTCACTGACCTAAGAGATATTCCAGAGAAAATAAACTCACTGAATATCATTGCAGAGAATCATTTACCTATGGAAAAGGTTTGTTTTCCTTAATATGTGCCCTATACAAGTCACAATTTGGTGTTGACTTTCTCAATTTATTTGTTGCAGATTACTGGTACTTATTAGGGATGTTCATTTGTTGCTGTCTCTTTCAAGTCTATTTTAGAGAATTGGTTTTCTACAAATTTGACCTTAGCAGGTTATGTATCATGGTAGATGGAGCTAAACCTGCCCTTCCTGCAAAATTTAAACCATAATATGACATATTATCAACTTCTTTGTTCACACCAAATGTAACAGAAGTTGCTTTGGGGAGGGGGAGGAGGTACTTCAAAGACTGTCATACCGCCCTATTCTCCTAATCCTATAACCCTGTTTTAAATCTCAACTTACCACTTTTCACACCCCTTTTTTAGGACTTGACTACCATATCTATTTTCAGACTTAGCTTCTGAAAGTTGCATTGTATTTGCTTTGGGAATCCACTTTGCCTTTTTTTACAGGGTAATTATCTTCCTAAGAGGCAGTCTCTGGTTTGCATAACTTCTAAAAATTTTCCACCTCCACCTCCCCCTTTAACAAATGGTAAACACCACAGAGTACACTATTGAGTTATGGATGCACTTGGGAGGTTTGCTAAGCACTCAAGAAGCTAGAGTCGCTCGAGGCTATCGCCTCGAGCGACTCTTACGCTTCTTTCGTGCTTAGCAACCTCCCGCGTGCATCCATAACTCAATAGTGTACGCTGTGGTGTTTACCATTTGTTTTATTAACATAACATAACATTGATACATTAATGTAGCTAAAGAGTTCGCTTTTATTTAACAAATCTTACGTGACCAGAAAAAACAAGAGCACGCTGAAAAATAGTCTTTGCATTTGCTCACGTCAGCAGCGTACACCCATGGGCAAATGGGGGACGCTAAATTGACCAATCAGAGTGCGCGCTTTACTTTGGTTGTGTTCTAAAAAAGTTTGGATGAGGCCATGTAAACATGGGGAATGATCCTTTTTCATCTTAAAGAATTTTTCCCAAAAATAATGTGCTAGTCCAAAACAAAGAAACTATGCCACAGGCTGTATGCTATCATATAAGTTTACACCTGTCAACTAAAGAGAGCGTGTCAGGTATGTCAGTTACTTTGAAATTTTCATTCTAGATCATGCAAGACATTGTGGATGTTATTAACTCAAAGGATACCCCTAAGTTATCAGATGAACTTCTGCCCCAGAACAGTGTTGTACACGAATCCCATTGTGAAAAAGCATGGCAGTATATTGTTCCAACTCTGAACCTCTGGTTTACTCAACTAACAGGACTTCAAGTACGTTATAAAACATTGTTATTCACAATTGCTTCCATTTTGTCTTTCAGAGCTAAAATGAAGAGTTTTTTTGTCTCTGCTACGCAATGATGCCTATTGTTCTGATAATTTTAATCTTAAAGAACTTGATGGTCTCAAAACAACACTTTAAAAGATTATGGCAGGCATCCATGGTTTCATAGACATGATAGATGCTGAAAGATACAGTCCAGTTCCTGTTCTGTGGAAAATGTCAGCATTTTACTTGAGACACCGCTTTCCCTTAAAGAAAGGGGAAATAAAAGCCTAATATTCATTCTTGACTGAGGAGGTGACAAGAAACAATACAAACTCAGTCAATATTATCACACTCAGTGATATATATAGAGCAACATTTTGAGATCAACTGCCATCTTTTGAAAGCTAATAACTACTTGTAATCTTTGCTTCGTATTTTAGGATCTTCTGGGACCAATCAATCAACTGTCATTTAACTTGATGCCATGGAAATCAAAATCCCTGCTTGAGGAAGACAATGGCAGAGCTTTAACATTACAGAGAATCAAAGACGCACTCGATTTTCTTTGCCTTGAAACCCGAGTCAGCCCAAGTGAAATACAGACTGACACTGCAGAAGAAATATCACTGGATCATCTAAAAAGCATTGTTGCTCACTTTCAGAAACTGTTTGACATAAAAACTGTCAGTGGAGTATTTACACGAATGAATGAGCTTTATATACGACTTGGAGAGGCATGCAATGCAATGAATAATATGCGAGAGTTTCTTGGATTAGGTGAGACTATTTACCAAAGAATTTAGTGAAACAACATCTGTGAACATTTAAATTTTGAATATCTGCTAAATTCATGTTATCCAGTGAAACTAAACTGAATACCATTTAGTCCGGGAGCAAGTGTAATGTCGTGGGAATGTCAGGCTGCAAGTAATTCGCTCATCTAGTTGTGTTACTGGGATCCTGAATGACATGAAAAATTTACACCGAGCTGTTTTATTGGGATTTTAAAATATAACGTAGATCTCCAACATGAAATCGAGGTTTTGGAACAAAGACCTCTATAACTTGATACCGTTTAAATGAAATTGCTCCAAACTTATAGAGGCTATTCTCTCAGTTACTTCAATGATATTATGTACCACCGAGTTTCTTGACATGGTCACGTGGCCAAGCAAACATGAAAATGAGGCTACAAGATAAAAATAGCTTTAACCTTTCACTGTTTGAATGAAACTGCTTCAAAACCTAAGATAATATGTACCTTAATTATTTCAAAGATGTTATCGACTACTTGTTTCCCTTTATGGTCACATGACGAAACTAGCATGGAAACGCCCAAATACTGTCTCTGATTTTAATAAAGTTGCCAACTTTGGCAACTGATACGTTCCTAGATGTATAACCTTTTATCAGACCATTTTATGAATTACCATTGTCAAATGGCAAAGCTAGTATAAAAAAGAGGTTCTATGTGTAAACCTACAAATTCTATAAAACATACAGAAACATCAAAAACTGGTTTGGCACATCACATCCTTTCTCGTTAGCAGTCATGAACTGCTAAAACTTGAACAAGGACTTAATCTATACTTCACATAATGTAGTTCAACAGCAAGCTTAGCTATCACTCTCATCACTGTCACCACTCTAGTACTCCATCTCTTCCTCCTCTTCGTCCTCAGCATCAGTTTCTAGCTGATCATCACACAGATCACCACTGCTGCACGGCACAACTGCACAGGTTAGTGCATTTTAGTTCAGCTTTCCGGCAGTTGCACCTATTTGTTGAACATCGAGTCTTGATGCAACCACACTTCACCAGTTGTATGATGGCTTCTGGTGCCGGAGGCAGAGACATCGTAACTGGTACCCATTTGTCATCTTCCAACTTCCAGCCAAATTTTTCTGGTGATGGAAGCTATGGTTCAGGCACAGTATCTAAGTTCCACACCAATGCTTGATAATTTGGTCTATTTATAACCTGTTGAAGTGCTTCTGGTGTTGGTGGTAAGTTCTCAGACTGGGCCAGCTTCTTCCGGAAAAGCCAGCATCTTAGCTCCTTGACATTATCAATGATGGTGTTAGGCACGTACACTTGACAAACAAGTTTCTCAATGCCAGTTAAGGTATCAGCTGATGGCTGGCCTCTTGTACCAAGGTTTGCTAGGGCACTGATTTCCTCTTCATTGGCTTACATAAAGATCTTCCACCAAGTAGTCTTTCTCTTTCCAGCAAAGCTGCCTGTAATGTCAGCGCCACTCAGAGCATGAAGACCAGGTAATGCTGCAACTTTTGTACTGCCAAGGGCCTGTACCACAAGTTTCAAATTAATCACTCCGTGTCTCTGTCCAGTTCCAGTAACAAACCGAACATCGCTGCAGAGCTGTTGATATCTTCTTAAGGACAGGACAAAAACATCGGTATCTGGTGAATGGATGGTAATTTCAGTTGCACCATGAGAAGTGGCATCAACTGCGTGGAGAATGATCTTGGTGTCTTCCTCTTCTTGGCTGCTTCTGAGGTGCATAACATCAAAGTGAGTTCCTTGACAGTAACACCCCCAGGCCACAATAACATTCTTTCCCATGCATTCTGATCTTTGGTTCACCTTGACTGATAGATACTCCATCAATTCCATCTTGGTTCTTTCGTGAGAGAGCAAATGTCTCATGGGTACCTTGGCAATGTGAGTGGAGTCTGTTAATAGACTGAATGTTGATCATCGTGCCTTCATACTCGAGTAGCAGATTTCAGGGAAAGAGGAAAGTCATATCTGTCAAAGACCAGGTTTAATTCATCACTTTCAAAGTGCTTCTGGAGAACCTTTTCTGTAAAATGTTGAGCAAGATGAGCACAGGTTGTTATGACAGCTGGTTTATCAAGTGACTGTAGCTCTTCTATTCCATCGACAATGGCCACTTTCTTTCGTACTCTCACGTCTGACAGCACATTACTTGAATAGACTGCTGGTGCCTCTTTCTCAATTAAGGTCATCAAAGTGCTCTTTGTTAAGCAATGTAACATCTCACCATCTGCTGCAAAAAGCGACCTTGGCTTTAGGGAATCCCGTAGGTGCCTATGGCTTCTTGAAGGTTAATTTTTGGTCATGATTGGCACACCATCATGAGACGAGCAAACAAACATGGGTCTTCCTTTAACTCCAAAATCTTCTTGTTGACAACGATTTTCGTTTTCTTTGTTGCCTTTTTCCAAGTTTGAAGCTCGCGCTTTTCATCGGTGACCATAGATTTTCCCTCCCTTCTTGAATGCGTTTCATGACAAATGTTCTGAAAAGTCTATCTCCTTCAGTCCTTTGCGCACAGAGATCTAGTCACAGGTGGCCCAAGCTCTGTCACAGGCTCTTTCACAGTGGATTACTAAAGAGTTTGTAAAGTGGTTTAGTTGGACTTGCTTTTGAGCTCCGTAAATGTAAAGTTGTGTGAAATAATCAAAGAAATAAAGTCTTACCTTCATAGAGAGTAGTCTGTGGTGTTCTCCTCGCAATTTGAGGCCGTTTTGATGTGTTTTGGCTTGACGCCCTAATCACCACTGAGTCACGTACACAAGATATCTCGTGTACGTGACTCGGTAGTGATTAGGGTGTCAAGCTAAAACACATCAAAACGGCCTCAAATCGCGAGGAGAACAACACAGACTACTCTCTATGAAGGTAAGACTTTATTTCTTTGATTATTTCACACAACTTTACATTTACGGAGCTGAAAAGCAAGTCCAACTAAACCACTATACAAACTCTTTAATAATCCACTGTGAAAGAACCTGTGACTGAGCTTGGGCCACCTGTGATCTAGTTTGAATTCCTCAGGCATCACAACTTTAGAAAAGAGATTAAAGAGACAATCTTCTGACTGAGTAAAGGGATTGGTTTGTAATTGGCAAACTAGACACAGACTCAAATCCATAGATGGATTGTTTGTTTCCAGCGTAGAAGAGTTGATAACAAGCATAAATTTACAGAACTACATGGTTTGCAAGTCAAAATGGCCGACTCCTATTTTAATGAAAATTACCACTGACCATAATACTGTTTCACATTTAACGGAGCCCAGACTTCCCATCTAAGGCGAGACGAGCTTCAAATAAACTTATATCCTTTATTAGTATAATCTCAGAGCTGAGCAAAGAGTTTCCAGCAATCTGATTGGTCGAGCGGTTCCTTATATGACACTATATAAACCACTCCACGCGGTTTATATAAAATGTTAAAATAAAATGTTGCTAAATGTTACTAAAATGGTATCATTTTAGAAATTTCTCTGTTGTTCAGCTCTGAAATTATACTAAAACAATTATTTGCCTCAGGTTCAGTGAATATTGTCGAATAATTATTAATTATAACTCATCAATTTAAAAAGTATCATGACTGTTTCGATAGTGCCTCATTTCCATGTTTGCTTAGTCACCTGACTATGCTAAGGAACCGGTTGGTGTACAATATTTTTAAACTAACTGAGATACACAACCTCCTCAAGTTTGGAGCAATTTTAGTTAAACAGTACAAAGTTAGAGAGGTCTTTGTTCCAGAGCCTCATTTTTATGTCGAAGATTTATGTCATATTTTAAAATCCCAATTAAACAGCTTGGTGCGAGTTTCAAGAGTGCCACCAAAATTTTTCATGTCAATTAAGGTCCTCTTAAGACAATAAGATAAGTTGCTTGCTTGCAGCCAAAAATTCCAACGGGACTTGAATATATGACATTACCGACATTTGCTCCCAGACTAATTGAGGGATGGCTTCTCTTTGATAACTATAACATGGTCCAGATAACAGCCCTTTCAAGGTATAAAATCCTTTTAAATAACACACAGGTTGCTGTTTTTACAATTATTTTGTTACCTTAGAATTAATTTATTAGAATTATTATTATTATTACTGTCTTGGCCATGTCATAGGTTTGTTGGTAGACCTGTGCATTCCTTTGACTCCTGTTTGCGGTGAGTAAACCCATCGCAACCATGGTTTCATAGACATGGAATAGCTACTGATAGATACAGTACTGATAAGATTGAGGGAAATATTGTGATTTGTCACTGGAAAGCAAGTATATATTTTGGTCGATGCTGAATGCTAAGGCAAGCAACTGCTCTCCGAGACACTGTAAATCACAATATTGTGTGCAGTATGGCCATATAGTTGTGGGTGGTGTTTTTGAATATGTACTTAAGCAGCAAATGCTCTCTTGCAATAACTTGGCCAATGTAACAGGCCAATTTTAATAGAGGTATTCTTATTATTTTAGAGCCAACTTGTAAAGCTTCTGATGTAGTGAATGCAGTTTCTAAACTGAGTAAGGCAAAACATCTCTTGAAAGTTGACGACTTGCCTGGGTAAGCAAATTATTTTCTATTTTTCTTTTTATTCGTTTTTTTTTTTATGCAGTTCTTTGTATAAATATATAAGAGTTGAGGTTTAAAGATCTGCTAAGAGTCAAATTATGTAGCAAAAACAAACTTTGAAAAGCTGATGTTGGATGGTGCACTCTTTCCCACTCTCTTCCTGCTGTGGTGTTCAGCCCTCATACTGGAATTTTTTCATAAAGGTTTAAATAACTGTGCACAGGGCTTTACAGGTAAGGTAAAGGTAAAGTCTGTTTACGAGCGTAGTGGCCCATTAGGCCGGTGCTTAACTCCGGTTTCTGTAGCATGAAGCGACTAGGAGTATTTCTACTCCCCCCTGGATGAGATGCCAGTCCATCGCTGAGTTACCCCCAGCATTAAATTGCTGGTATCCATTTATACACCTGGGTGAAGAGAGGCACTGTGAGAGTAAATTGTCTTGCCTAAGAACACAACACAATGTCCCGGCCGGGGCTCAAACCCGGACCACTCGATCTGGAGGCGAGCACACTGACCATGAGGCCACCGCACCTCCTCAGGGCTTTACAGGTGTTGTGATAAAATTCTTCAGCACTTAATTTTTATTTTATTTTCTTATTCATTTAACATCTCTTTGCATTGTTGTATTACTTTCAACATATTGTTGGGTGCATTTGGAAAGTACCAGTAATGTTAGATTTGAGCCTTTTAACCATGAGAAAAGAAAAAACAAATGTTGTTTGCCCCCTTCTAAACCTTTTAATCTTTCTGACCGGAAATTCTTGATAGCCTTGGTTTGTGGATTTCCCTCCACCACCTGAAACTTGAATTTTCAAAAAATTGTGTCTTTAAAATTGGCCTCTGCCCATCTCTTAGAATCTGTAGGATGTTATGAATACAAGGAGAAAGGTAGATATAGCAATAGCAGCGTTCATTTGATAAAATGCTAATTGACTGAGTTAGGTTGGTCCAAGCAGGAAAATACTAGGCTGAATTGGTATCATGACATAAAGACCAAGGTCCACACATCATAACCTCGAGACAAATGTTCCCCCGTTCAGCCCACCACGCTGTCCGATAATATAAACACACAAGCAAACCACGATCTATTCACGCTCAAGACTAAGCTTTAAAACCTAACCTTTGGCAGTTTATCTATTGCCATCAACATGTGGTTGGAAATCGTGTCAGGGAGATAGGGGTTCAACTCCTGCTTACTACAGGGACCAACATGTCTCAAGCAACCTCGGTGCGTTCATCCAAGATGTAAGAAATTCTCATCAACATAATTATTGAAAGTACAAAACCCATCTTTCTTTCCCATTAAAGATTGAAATAGCCTGTGCCAAGTTCTGGAATAGTACAAATGAGGAAAAAGCAACCATGTAATAAAAGGCGGAGGGGGACACTTCGTAGCAGCCACTGGCTGCCGCTCGTCCCCTCAACAGGTTATGATTTAAGGCACATGAATGTTTTTAGCGAGTGAACTTGACTGTTTTCCACAATCTGCTCAGCCACTGTGTGGTGTGTTTTAGTTGTGGTTAAATAGCTACTCCCAATAATCAGCTGTTAAATCGTTGAGTTGAAAACCTTGAAAACTTTCACGATTTTTTTTTTTTTTTTTTTTTTTTTTTTTTTTTTACATCAGCATAATGAACCGCTTGGATCAGTATGATGAGTTCTACCCAGCTTTCCAATCAATGATTTCCGAATTGAAGAAGCTGTTAAGTGAGTAACGGTTTTTTTTTTTGTTTGTTTGTTTGTTTTTTTTAATATGGGGCAGAAGACAAAATCTTTCTGGATAAATGTAGATAACGATGTAGCTTTTCTTTGGTTCCTTTTTGATTTTGTTTCATTTTATTTAATTTTTTTTTTCATTTTCGGCTGTAGTTTACTTGTTTTTCTGATAAGGAAGCCAAACTTAAAGTTTACAAAGGATCAGCTGGGATGACGGTGATTTCCTGTTTATGTCGTGTAGATTAAAATAAATGAATTTGTAAGAGTTTTTCTTTTTTAGTTTGAAAATATTGTCCTTTCCCTTCGTAACATATGGTTTTGAATTATGCAGGAAACCCACTAAAGGTTTAGAAGCCATAACTGTATTCAGAAGCTTTTTTGTGGGAAAATGGGAAGGTTGATGGGATCTTTCACTCAGAAGTAAAATCGGCCTATTTAATGTTTAAAAGCCTATGAGGATGTTATTTGTAAGTCATCTACTGTTTACCGTCAAGTCGCCCGGAACCTGAGTCATGTCGCCCAAAATTTTAGTCAAGTCACCCAAAGAAACAAATACTTTTAAAAATCGGTTCGTTTCCAACCTGGTGGTAGATTAGCACCCGCCGTTCAAACATCCAGTGATGATCAAAACCCCCGTAAACAGAAGTCGATTGTCGCGTGGGAGTCGTTACTCAAACGTATTTCAATTCCAACGATATGTTCGTTTTCTGTGCAGTTAAAGTCTTTGTGGTGCTTTTAGAAATTAAAATTAAGTTCCTCAAGCTTACGAAACGTCCGTGAGTACGCAACGAGTGCATACCAAACGAAAAACGCTGCATTTTGTTAAAAACAAACAAAGCTTTTAGAAATAATTTAAAGAGCACTTTCATTATAAAGATTTCTGAACTTTATTGCTTATTACAGTCTGCAAGGCTGATGTTTCAAGTATTTGTTTCTTTGGGCGACTTGTCTTTTTTGGGGCGACATCACTCGGGTTCCAGTCGAGATGACTCAAGGGTGACTTGATCGGTTACTGTTGCTACCGTCATGTACAGATATTTCTGCTTTACCATTGTAGGAGTTCAAGACATGGATGAAATTGTAACAGCCGTGACAGCGCTCTTCAAGTTTCCACCTTATTGACTTTACCAAGTTTTACTTACAACTCTTTTATGTTTAAAACAGTATTAATTCCTGAGCAGATGCCAAAGCTGCATGTTACCCATATTACTCTGTTTTAACTGTCTTGTGTTGATTTTCACTCAATAAACTGTTTAGGCCAGGACCCAAACCGCCAGATATAGTGGGCTTCCTTTTAATTTCAGGTATACAAACTATGTTAATCATATCGCATCATAAGAATTTGAATTTTTTTTTGATAAACCACACATTTTTGTACGTTTTTCATTGCTTATTGGAAATCAGCCAATAACCCTCTCAACTCCACTGTAGTCTTTCCACTTCCTCTGCCTGCCTTTCTGTTGTCCTTTGAGCACCCAGTGAAAAGCAGGACAGCAGAGCTGCATTCGTACCTAGCTAGGATGATTCTTACCCTTTGAGTTGAGTCATTTCATACCCATACTAAACCAAGTTAGCATGCAATAATTTCAAAAATAGGTCTGCACCTCATATATTTATTTATTACAAATTCACTCCACAAGAATACACAAACAATTAGTATTAATTACAATTAAGGTTAATAAAAACCATAAAAGGAAAAATTGTGGAGGAGACAACCAAAAGCACTGACGCACCATACAAGGGATGCCCCCTCTAATT